ACACACACACACACACACACACAGCGGGCTGAACGCCTACCTTCTGGCAAACCTGAAAGACAGATTTCTAAAAAAACAAACAAAAAAAGACAAAATAAAAAAAGAAATAAAAAAAAAACCAACAAGACAGTATGTGGATAAGCAGGTGGGGAGTGGGCTTTACAGGTTCAACGGTCACCCCATTTGTGGAAGAGCCGCTCAGCGAGACGAGAGTCCTAGACACCGGGACCTGCCCCCGTCCCGCCCCGCCGCCCCGCATTCCAGGGCTGGAAAGGGGCACGGTTTCTGGCTGCTCCAGCTGAGCTGACTGAAGTGCACCAGGAAGGGCAGCAAGCCTGCTCTCCCCGAGCCCGCTGCTGCTTCTGGAGCTACCCTGAGGCGGGAGGGCAAACAGAGGGATGGAGACAGATAGCGTCCTGCCGGGCAGGATTGCAGCTGTCTCTCCGGGGCAGCTGGGGACCTGGGGACCAGGTGAGAGACCTCATGGAGAGAACTACCCCCCCACCCCCCACGCTTGCTGCTCAGGAAAGCCTCAGCACACTGGGCTGCGAGGGAGGAGGCCACCAGGCCCCCACCAGCTACTTCGCTTCTGGCCTTCTTCCTGGTGAGCCTGGGGCAGAAAGACGAGGCTGGGGCAGAGGGTGCAAACTTAACCAGCTGAGTGGGGGGAAAGGAGGTCAGAGGGTGTGAGATGAAGGACCCGGAAACACTCTCCTTGCCGGCCCAGCCTGGCTCAGGCCTCATGACTTTGCAGCTGCGTCACCAAATATAAGTTTCCATGGGAACCCAGGAGAGAAGAGGGGGGCTTTTATTTTAGCATCTGAGTTCACACTCTCCTAGAGAGGAGGCGGCATTGGCCATCTGCTCTTGGGGCCAGAGAACGAGGGGTGTGTACAGGAGTTGGGGAGAGCCTGAGAAGGATGGACGGGTCTGGGATCATGAGGTGCTGACAAAGACCCAACTTCTTAGGCTTTCTAAGGCCTCTTCTAACCCCAGGACACAAGCCTAGTGCTGAGTCCCCACCCCCACTCCCAGGCAGGTAGGAAGACCTGGCCTCATTCTCTCTGCCACCCTAAGCCCCCGACTCACCTGCGTACAAACTTGGAAGTGAATTTGCTAAAGATGCTCCCCGAGGCCCCCCGCCGGCCCTGGCTGTTGCCAGAGGGAGACGCTGGGGTCACACCGTAGGGCAAATTCTGCTGGTCCCGCACCTGCCGGAGCTGCCCAGCGTGGAAGGTGCTTCGACTGGACACGCCCCGGGGGAAATTAGTTCGGTCTGGGGCTCCACCACTGCTGCTGATGTTGTGGGCGGAGGGGGAGGCGACAGGGACACGCTGGGGGGCCGTGCTGTGGGAAGAGAGGTGGGGGTGGGGGAAATGCATCAGGGCACAAGAACGTCATCACCACCGAGCACTTGTGGCATCCTGGGGTGGGAACAGGGGTGGGGGACGCTGGGGCAGAGGCAGCCATCACGGAGGACACAGAAGGAAGGGGTGTGACCACTGAGGACACCAGAAAGGAGGACATCTGGGTGGAGGTGGGAGGAGATGGTTTGGGGGAGGGAGGGAGGCAAGGGAGGATACGTGTGTGGAGAGCAGAACAGGCCAGACAGAAGAGGCTCCTTGGGAGCTAGGCACACTGGAGCCTCAAGGGGACAATGTCGACCAACCCTCAAGGATTGAATCCCTTTGATGCTGACTGTCCCTGGGGTCCTAAGGAAGTCCAGGAAGGCTCAGAACAAAAAGGCTTCCTTCTGGAGCCTCGGGACGGCTTCTTGCATATCTGTTCTGAGAGGGAGAACTGGAGGAAAAGAGGGGCATTAAGCTATTTTTTTGTTCCCTCTACTTCCTGACTGCAGGGGACAGAGCCATTGCTTGTGGCTAAGATGCCAAGAACAGAGCAGGACCCCCGGGGAGCGGGGAGAACTTGTTGGGAGGGGTGGGGCGGG